CCTAATAGGGCAAGGGCGTGTCTCAATTTCTCTACTTGTGGGTTTGTTAATGGACAAAAAGCCAAACCCCATGGGTATGGGGTGTAGTATCCAAACCCGCAAACTTATGTGTTTTTTAAACCCAGGTCCGTCATAGAAGAGTAGCTCATAAGAGAAGCTCATATTGGGCTAGGATATCTCGAATTTGTCAATTAGATTGATCCATTTGGGTCTATAAACTTTTCGAGTTGTGTTATTCAGGTCTGTCAACTCTAGAACCGTAGACTTTGGTTCATAAATTTTTTATGTCACTCATTGTACCCCTTTGTTTGGGGAATAGATCCAACGTGGCGGTCCATGTCGTCAGCCTAATAACGTGGCTCGTGGGTCACGGAACTGCACATTAGATAGATAGAAGATGTAGATAGATGGTGTAGATATATTTCAGATCCCAGAGACTTCCTTCTCCATGTATCTGTGCCCACATACACCTAGGCCCCTATGCTCACAGGTATCAAAATGTTCATCAATGTATCTAACACTACGGGATACAGTAGTTTTGCCGAGTGTCAGGGGCACTCGGCAAAGGCCCAAAAACACTCGGCAAATGCTTTGCCGAGTGTAACACTCGGCATAGAACACACGGCATTAATTTGTCGGCAAACAGTAGTTTGCCGAGTATTTTTTATCGAGCACTTGGCAAATAGTTTGCCTAGTGTCAATAAACACTCGGCAAAAATAAACTCTCGGCAAAAAAATGGTGACGGGATGGCACGGTGATGGCGATTTTGCCGAGAGCACGACGGAAAAACACTCGGCAAAGTTTCTCAAGGTTGCCGAGTGTCAAGACAAAAACACTCAGCAAAGTTTCTCAACTTTGCCGAGTGTCAAGACCAAAACACTTGGCAAAGTTTCTAAACTTTACTGAGTGTCCAGACCAAAACACTTGGCAAAGTTCCTAAACTTTGCCGAGTGTCACGGTCATAACACTCGGCAAAGTTTGGTTTTGCCGAGTGTGTCGCGCTCAAAACACTCGGCAAACAACCGCGCAACGAACAGATTTATGGTCACTTTGTCGAGTGTGCATTATAATACACTCGACAAAATCAAAACACTCGGCAAAGAAGGTTCCCAGATAACAGAAAATGGTCTCGTCGCCGAGTGTTTTGCCTTGACACTCGGCAACTCCTCTCTTTGCCGAGTGTTACACTCGGCAAAGCGACCAAGACCCCCCCTTTTTTACTAATCTGTCACATATAACGGACCCCTCTCAATTAAAAAAACCATGACAATTCACAACAAAACATCATCACAGGCATAATTATATGTCACAGGTATAATAAACCATCATTATAATTCACAATAAACCATCATCACAAGTCACAATAAACCATCATCACAATTTACAATAAACCATCATCACAAGTCACAACTAAGTCACAATAAGCCACAAATGCAAATGCAATCACTGCGGAGGCCCTTGGAACCTCTGCGACAAATCCGGGTCTTGAGACTGATTATTTGATGCCGCCGATTGATTCTGCACAAAAGAGAAGAGATTGCATGTGTGAGCTGCAGATATAAAAAACTTACTGCAATCAGAAAGTATAAGTAGTGTCTTCAAAAAATACTTGCACGTAAGTATATATAGTACTAACTTGTATTTGTGCATGGGAAGCTAATAAGGAAGCTTCTAGTCTATTTGATTAAATTTTGGGAGAATTTATATTATATATGATATATATGAGCTAGGCTAGGCAGCACAGGCTGTTGCATAGCACCCTGTTTTGCATAGCCAGACTTCAGTAATGATGGTTAAGGAGACAAGCATACCAAAGGAACCGAAATCAACTCCTCCATCGTCTAACAGTTTATCCTCCATAGCTCTTGAAAACTAGATCAGTACATATAACTAATAGGTGCATTTCCCCAGAAAGAAAGACCTTAAAATTTTAGCCAAAGTTAAACTATTGTTAGCTTGACTGAATTCATGGAGAAAAATATTAACATACATTCATGACACCAACTAGGTACTAGTATATGAAACTACTATATAATATAATTGAATGGTGCTAATTTAACTAGTATCATAAATATGGATATGTTTTTTAAACTTAGCCAAACTCGCAACCGTTTGACTTTGACTAAAATTCTAAACCGTTCCTTCTCTGAGTGAGATGTACTAGTATTGTTTCTAATCTATCTTTACATCCGTAAGACGTCTCTGCTGCGTGGGATATCTTGGCGCTCCATTGGGCCCCAGCGGAGGACCAACGAGTGGCTGCAGCGGTCGTAGGTCCTAGTAATGAACCACTCTACAGTAGCAGTACAGTAGGGATGAGGTGGAGCTACTGTAGGATTCAAAGGCCAAAATAAACTCTAGAAAGACAGAGAGACCATAAAAAGAAAATCTAGCAAGGTGGTCACGTAGGTTAGATCTTTTTGATCTGGACATGCATGTATACTAGATCGGAAGCTTCGGTTAAGTCTATCTCAAAACTTCATGTATCCATGCTCAGCCTCCTGCATCACCCTAATCTAGTCAATTTGCATGGCTACTGTGTTGATGGTGATCAGCGCTTGCTCGTTTATGAGTATATGCCATTGGGATGTCTAGAAGACCATCTACATGGTTAGTTACTGTTTTATGTTGGAAATGTATGATATCCTCAGCATCAGGAGCAACTTAAAATTTCCTACTTGTAATTTTATTTTCATAATAATTCTGTTAATATAAAAACACCGGGTGTTCCGTATATTGAAGGACCTTCCAACATATGCAGCATCTTTTTTTTTCCCTACAAGCCTGTTTAAGTATTAAAACATGTTAAGATAAATTGTTCTACCCATAATGTGCACTGATTTTATTGTCAGTTCTTTACTGGGCTGCATTTCGAGTTGCTATGCCGTTTGGACAAGATCTGTCTGAACTACACAAGCGGCGGCGCTGGTGGCTGGACGCGCCTGGGGCGGGCGGGCGCTGGGGACAAGATTTCAGGAAATTATATGGAGCATTTAGAAAATCTTACGGGCGGGCGGCACTGGGCGGGCGGGCGCTGGGGCAGGCGACGCTGGTGGCGGGCGGCGACCGAGGGCGGGCGGCGCTGGGGGCAGGACGCCTGGCGGGCGGCGCCGGGCGGGCAGGGACGCCAGGCCGGTGGCGGGCGCGGTGGGGGGGAGGCGGCGGGGGGGTGGTGGAAGGCCGAGGGGCGGGCGGCGCTGGGGCGGACGCTTAGGGGCGGGCGGCACCGGGCGGGGCAGATATGGGGGGGGGTGGCGGCATGCGGCGGCGTGTGTGTGAAAGGTGTGTTGTTCTGCGTGAGGGTGAGGGCCGGGGTGCGGGCATTGGGTCATATGAAGGATATGCCGAAAGTGCAAGATCTGGGGCACTCGACATTTTTTTATTTTCATTATGGCCCGACATCATCGTGCAGTGGGGCGGTAGATTTAATTTGCCGAGTGTCCCCTATATGACACTCGGCAACTATTATTTTCGCCGAGTGTCAGGTAGAAAACACTCGGCAAAATAAATTGATATTTCATGCTCCCCAATCCTCCTTCATAGCGTGTTCTACTAATTTTGTTAGGATGTAATTTCAAAATACCTTGTCAAATTCACTCAACAATGCATATTTGATTTTTCTACGAATATTAATCCATTATTTCATGCAATTATAGCTCAAACTCAATTTATATCAATTAAAATTCTATAATTGCAGTTAATAAATTAAAATTATCAAACGGATCCGAAAAATTACCAAAATTTGACGTGAACCAATCTATGTTGTCTATTGCCTATACAAAAACTTTTAAAGTCAAACCTCAATTCAACCATCACATTGACTCCAAATCTTACCGGATCCTTCTCAACGCTATGATTCTTCTTTGGAGATACTTCAGTTTGTAAAGGTCGTACGTGACAAATTGTGCGAAACCTTCTCAATTTTTTCCACAGTCTCCACGTATGATATCATGAGATTTTGACAAATCTCGTGATTTTCAGACTTCGTTTGTTTTTTTTAGAATTTAAAATTCATTCGGCCACACGTTCGTGGTTATGTTTCCTAAACAAAATGTTCAAAAATTCTATTCATTTCCCGAGTAAGGCCCCAAAATGGACTCAATAACATGAATATGTTTTCTCCACTCAATTTCTTCCATTATTTGAATCACTTGCAGTTCAAATTTGACTTAAACCAAAAAAAATCCTCTAAATGCAATAAATTAATTAAATATAGCAAACAGATCGAGAAATTTGCCAAATTTTAACATGTAGTACCACATGTTGTATGTGGAAAGTAGAAAAAGTTTGGAGGGCAGGAGAGGAAAAAAATTATTATTTTGCCGAATGCCAATAAAAAACACTCGGCAAAAACATCATTTTGCCGAGTGTCAAACAAAAACACTCGGCAAAAATATCAAGTTGCCGAGTGTCAACTAAAAACACACGGCAAACCTAAGCTTTGCTGAATGTCTCTAACGGACACTCAACAAAGTTCTAACGGCAGGGCGGCGCACCCAACAGCCGTCACTTGGCCGCCGCATGCCCAGCACACGTGCCTATACTTTTGCCGAGTATTTTTTATTTGGCACTCGGTAAAGTTGGGTTTTGCCGAGTGTCGAATTAAAAACACTCGGTAAACACGACATTTGCCGAGTGCCCGATGGAATACACTCGGCAAACCCTTAGGCACTCGGCAATTTTACTGTTTCTGGTAGTGTAACTATGATTGCAGCCCTAAATAATAAATGTGCACGAATCCTCATTTGGACATCGCCATGTACACCTAGGCCGTTGACCGTTGTGCTATCATGTACTGTATTAAGACAAGGATATCCAAAGCCTATACATCTAAATGCTCGCGAATCCTCCATTTCAATATCTCATATATATCTTCATCATTACGCCTTGCTTTAGTTAGAGCTCTGCATTAATACGTACTTGAGCTCTCAAAGGCTCCATAAATAAATTATAAATATGCGTGGCGGCCAGGGACTCACACGACCTGGCGCTCGTGGCCATGGACCTCGTCAAGAGTGGCGCCGCGGATGCGGACACCAAGATTGACGGCGCACTGCGCTCCGGCACCACGGCGAAGTGGAGCAAGTACACGATGCTCTGCCTCCACTACTGCCGGGAGGACCAGAGCCACGTGGCACGCACCGTCCCGGAGTGCCGTGCGTTGGTCCGGGAGTACAAAATCTAATTACATTCATAATAATAGCCATTAGGATCTATCCTATTTTCTAAGATGGACTAACCTCTGTGATTGTGTAAAACAGTTAATAAAGAACCAGTGAGTCTCTATGTAAATCTCACACTACTAAAAGCATGATCTAAAGTGAACCTAAATATTCACTCTAGATTAGCACGGTTCTAGATATTACTTCAAGCTCTACCATCGATTTTGAGTGATGTGGTGCATGTTTTAAATGACGGTTATGTCATTGTAACAGTTAAGAGTGCAACTTATGACATAAAATTCTTATTTTCAAAAGTACAAAAGAAGAGTTAATAAACATACAATAAGAATTTTAACTTAGCTTGAGAAGAAAATATGTCATAATTAATAATATTAAATATTCAAGTTACACAGAGGTGACATGCAAAAGATAGGGGCTGCAATAAGAGCCACCATAGTTTAAGCTTTTCTTTTGAAGCTAATGTTTCAACTAAATACATATTCAAGTTACACATAGGTGACTTGCAAAGAGAAAAAGCTATGGACACTACTACACAAAATCTTTTGCGAGGCATTTTGAAATTGGCCTCGGAGGAGGTTGGGCCGGCTGCCCGCCTTGGTTATTCGTGGCAGGGCAGCCGGCCCAGCAACCACCTCGGTTAATACTTAACTAAGGTGGACAATGTAAGAGAACCGCCTCTGTTAATGTCTATTAACCGAGGCGGGCATTATAACGCAACCCCCTCGGTTAATCATTAACGTAGGTTGACATTAAAATGCAACCACCTCGGTTAATAGATATTAACCGAGGCGGGCGCTTAAGGCAAATGCCTCTGTAAATCAATTTACGGAGGCAGACGTCTTAAGATGTCCGCCTCGGTTAATGATTGCAACAAAAAATAATTCATAACTTTTTGATATGAACTTGGATGAAGACAAACTTTATATCAAAATTGTAGCTCTCGACGAGATCTACAACTTTGGAATTGAAATTATTTGAATTGGATCTGTTTAAGGTCCCAAAATATTGTTGTAAGTGCACATATTTTGAAATTTAAATTTTAAAATTATCAAACGATGTAGGATGTTCACATGGTCTATACAAAAGTTATAGTTCTCAATAGTATATACAACTTTGTAGTTGAAAAGATTTTAATTTGAAGATGTTTAGTGTCGGTGTAGAAAGTGACCAACAAGTAAATATTTGTAGTTTTGCCGTACGTTGTGATCGGAGGTGGCCTAGCACTCAATGACACAGGGTTTATACTGGTTCAGGCAACGTGCCCTACGTCCAGTTTGAGTCAGTCGGTGACTTTATTCCTGAGCCCAGGTGCTCGAAGTTTGCAGTGGGGTTACAAACGAGAACGAGAAAGACGGGGGGTACGAGAGGTCTGGTCGGAAGGGCCGACAGTGATGGGAGACCCACTATGAGCTAAGTGTTCAAGCGTGTGCTTGTGGTTCGAACCTGACGGTTCTGTGGTTGTGAACTAGTGAACTTGATCGATCTAAAGAATCTGACTGAGCTTAATGAACTTGGATGAACTGAGTTATTTGGGAGAGACCGCATCCCCTTTTATAGATGAAGGGGATGGCCTTACAAGTGGGAGGGAGAGAGTACGTATGCTTCTAAGCCTTGTTGCCCCCGCCGACGGGTACAGGATGATGGTTGACGCCCACAACACTATTGGATGTTAGATGCACGTGGGAGGTTGTGTTGTTTTCTTCGGGTATGGCAGACGTCGGCGCCTGCCACACTGTTGATACCTGGAGGTTCATAAGGGGATTTACCATGTTCGCCTGTCACGGTAAAGTCCGACGTGGGGGGGCTTACCGTATGGGAGTTAATGATGCCCACAATACTGTAGGGGAAAATATCGGCACCTACAACACTGCTTGGGCTCTGTTGTGCCAGGGAGGTTGCAGAGTATTGTTTCTACAGGTGTACAGGGTACGGACCCCGGTATTGCGGTTTGACTTATGCGCCCTGCCTACTTTCTTCGTCTATTCCCTGGTCCTTACCGAGCGGACGTCCCCAGTCGGTTAGTCCTAGTCGGCTCTGATCGCGCCAGTCGGAGAAGAGCGGTGAGCAGGGTTTTGGTGCATCCCCGGTCGGAGACGCGGGTCGGAGTCAGAAGCAGTGCTTTGGCCAGGCCTTCCGATCGGAGAGGTCGTCCGGAGTTGGGCTGGAGATCAAAGCGAGTGCTCCGATCGGAGAGGTGGGCCAGAGTCGGAAATGGGCGTCGTTCCTCCTTGGCCAAGCCTTCCGGTCGATGTTTGGATCGCCCTTCTGGCCTGTTGTTCAGATACTTGGGCCGGCCCACGAGTTGCGTGTTGTTTGCAATGTTGCCTGCTGGGCAGAACCTTTGTTGGGAAGCCGGTCCACGAGGGACCCCAAGTTTATGAACCCGACAGGAGCCCCCGGGTGATTCGGGTAGAATCATCTGGGGGATTTTTGCCTTGACGGCGGGTGCGCACGAGCGCACCCGCGGGTGTAGCCCCCAAGCTCCCAGGCGATTCGTATAGAATTGTTCGGGGTTTTTTTGTGTGTTGCCAGCGGGGGAGGTTTTTGTTTCGTCGGCGGGTGCGCACCCGCGGGTGTTGCCCCCGAGCCCCCGGGGCAATTTGGGCAGAATCGTCTGGGATGTGTTTGTCAGCGGGCGTGTGTGTGTGTTTTTTAGTCGAGATGGAGTCGTCAACCAAGGCGTCGTTGCTCAGACGAGGTGTTTAGTTTTGGGATCGGGTGAGACAGAGCTCGTGGATCCTGGCGTCGGTGCGTGTCATGGGATTGGGTGAGACGGAGCTCGCGGATCCTGGCATCGGTGCGCGCCATGGGATCGGGCGAGGCAGTTAGTTTAGGAATCGGATGAGACGGAGTTCGCGGGTCCTGGCGTCAGTGCGCGCCGTGGGATCGGGTGAGTCAGAGTCATGGATCCTGGCATCGGTGCAGCCCACGCAGCAGAGGCAGTTAGTTAGTCAGTTTTGGGATTAGGCGGGCTAGAGCCCGCGGATCCTGATGGGGCGAGCTCGGGGTCGCAGACCCGGGCGTTTGGTGTGTAGTCGAGGCGTAGCCGAGGGATGGGGTGAGTTCAGGGTCGCAGACCCAAGCGTTTGGTGTGCGGTCAAAGCATAGTCGAGGGATGGGGCGAGTTTGGGGTCATAGACCCAGGTGTTTGGGGTGCAGTCGAAGCGTAGTCAAGGGATGGGGCGAGTTCGGGATCGTAGATCTAGGCATTTGGTGTGTAGTCGAAGCGTAGCCGAGGGATGGGGCGAGTTCGGGGTCGCAGACCCTAGCATTTGGTGTGCAGTCGAAGCGTAGCCGAAGGATGGGGCAAGTTCGGGGTCGTAGACCTAAGTGTTTTGGTGTCTTGAGCCCCCGAGCCCTGTTGGGCCTTGGTAGGGGTCGGTTTGAGTTGTGTGCGTTACCTCATCCTTGGTTTCTCACAACAAGAGGGGCTGGGTTTTGTCGCTTGCCTCGATCGCTCAGGCTTGAGTGGCGCGCTCGGTGAGCTCGCTAATGGGTATCATCGAGTGGAATCCAAGTCTGTCGTTCATGACGGGGTCGGCATAGCCCTCTTGTGACATTCCACTTCTCCTTTACCTGCAACCCGGCAGATGCCTGGGTAGTTCTGGAGACAGACTCGGGTGGCCTACTGGCCTCCCCTCGATGGAGATTCTATGGGCTTGGCGAGATGTTTAGGATTAAATGAGAAGGTTGAGATGACCCTATCTGCTTTGGGGCAGACCAGGTGAGGGCCGCACTGGGCTCATCTGCATTTTCTCCCCAGGCTCTAATTGACGTGGGGTGGCCTTCGCACCCCGGTCGGTCGTTGCTCATGTTGAATGAGGCAATTGCCGCTTTGTGACGCAACACGGAGCGTTGTGATGCATTTCGCTGCACGTGCGATGCTTAGTTCCCGAGCCCTCGGGCGGTTCAGGGCTCGAATCATCCAAGGGGCACGGGCGTATGGAATGAATGCGTGTATGGATGTATGAAATGATTATAAAGAAATAGCAGGGGTCGGTAGTGTTACCTTGATGACTCGAGTGACGGGGTTTGAAGAGCTCTAATTGGAAATGTCCGATCGGGACCCATGCTCATCATTCGTGATGGAGTCGGCATGGCCTAGATCGAGTGTCCCTCTGCTCCTTACCTGTCTCTCAGTGTTTTATCCTAAACCGTTCCATCGACTTTAGGAAGCCCTGTGGTCTCTTCTGGCGGAGATCCCGTTGTCTAGGTTTTTCCATGTCCTGCCTCGGGAGGCGGAGAGCCGCCTGCGTGTGGTGACGCTTTGGTTTTCGCGCCTGGCGTGTAGTAGTGGTGGGCCGTACCCAGGCCACGTCCCATCTTACCAGGTGGCGTTCCGTCTGACCAGGCATCGTTCTGTCGGTCAGTGTGCGTCCAATCGGTCAGGGTGCATCCCATTGTTTCCCATCCGTATTGAATGGGGGAAGGGAGAGAGTTTTTTGCTCTGATCTTTTGCCCCTCTTCAACTATCGCGTTTCCTCCTTAAATAGGGGGAGAGAGATGGCTTTTCGTCGTAGCCCTTTGCCTGTTCTCCAACTATTGCCTCTCCTCCTTCTTCCTCCTCACCGAGAGTACCTGTATGCCGTGGCAGTTCCTAAGTGAGAGAGAGGGTAAGTGAGGGGGAGGACTTATAGATCATTTCATGAATCTAGAGCGCGATGTCGAGCTAGAGGCTGCCGAAGGCAGTGTGGGCTGTCTTTGCCTGAGAAGGGGCGGCTTCCGCCGAAGGAGGTGGCGCGCTGGATTCATTTGTGAGGCCTTTTTCTGGATGGAGCCGTGTGTGGATTTTTTCTGGTGGATCTTCGTTGGGCGAGCCTTGTCGGAGGGGGAGTTGCCCAGGATCGTGCTGGTGGAGGGTTCTGTGCCTGTAGCTGCTTAGGTTGGCCAGTTCATAAAGTTTGATGAGATCTCTTCCAGCCATGGTGGCCATACCTTGGTGGCAATGTCCCTGCCTAGGACCTGCCTCGACTACATGAGAAGGTCCGGAGCTCCCTGCTCT